GGGAAGTGCTTATTCCACTGAGCCATCTCCCCGGCCCCCTTCTTTTTTGAATATATAAGCTCCTTTTTGTCTGCAACCTTTATACTGTTTTCCCTGCCTAAAATATTCTTTTCTGCCTCAGAGCCTAACATATCTTTTTTTAAAAACTCAGCTATCAACTTAAGGGTATCCACCCCTTCCCCACCACCACCCCCAGAGGACTTCCCTGACCAATCAAAATTAGTTCATTTTGGCCGGGGAGATAGTCCGGCAGCATAAGTGCCAGCCTGGCGAGTGTAAGGTCCTGAGTTCAATTCCCAGTACCACAAAAATGAGCTTCTATTGAGTTCCTTACTTTTTACACTGCACTATATTTTATTTCCATCCCTTCCCTCTATTTCATGACAGCATGAATCTAAACTGTTCTGTTGGCAAGTGTTTATAGAACAGCACCATAAAACAGTGCCTAGGGGGCCTGCCTGTTAGCTCAGTTGTTTTAAGTGCCTGCTTAAACAAAGCAGTCAGGCTCAAGGTGCTGTGGTTCTATCCCCAGATCCTCAAGCCAAACCATACCTGCCCTGAAGGCATCCTGAGCCTGCCAAAAAATAACAATCCTTCTTCGCTTAAAAGAAAAAAAAAACAAACAAAAAAAAAACAAAAACAGTGCCTGGAGGAGTAGTGTTCAGTTATTTTTTAGTAAAAATTTCTTTGATTGGGTTATTCACGTGGCATCTTACCCATGAGGCCACAGCTCAAATTTAGCACTACGAATTGGTCTTTCCTGACTCCCTCCTCACAGCATTTTTATCTGAAATTATCCTCTTTCAGCACCACTGTGTCTGAATAAATTAGTTTTTTTATGTGTTTTTGTTTTGTTTTGTTTTGTTTTGCGGTATTGGAGACTGAACTCCGTACCTTGCGTTTGCCAGGCAGGCATTTACACCTCTGAGCTGTGTCCTCAGCCCCGTTCAACGAATTATTATTGTTGAAAAAAAAAAAAAAAAAAAAACTAAGGCATAGGGTGGGAGAGTGGAGTACAGTGGTAGAGTCCTTATGTAGATTGCTAAATTGGATCCATCATCCAAAAAAAAAAAAAAAGGAAAACCAACGAATACATAATAAAATGGGTTCAGATCACTAAAACCAGTAGATGATGCAGCGCAGATCCCAGCATCCTTTCACGAGCTGTCTAATAGTGAACAGAGGCCACTTATTTTTACCCTTTTTTCCTCATCAGCAAAACAAATATGCTTGACTTGCAAAGGCTCTTGAGAAGACCGAGTAAATGAAAGAGCGCTTTCCTCAGCGCCAAACCCCTAATAAGCGGTGGGTGGATGTACAGCGGCATTATGTTTATTACCGATCCGAGCGTGCTAAACTGAGCAGCCGCTCCCGGCTGACCACATTTCTGTGGAGCAGTAGAAAACTTCCTGCCCCTTTGAGTTGAAAGGCACGACACGAGAATCCCTCGGGTCGGCTCCGGAGGACCTCAGCCTCAGCAGCTCGCCGAGTCTGTCCGCGGAGTTTGCTCCCGCCGCTCTAGCAGCGCGGTCCGCCGGCTCTCGGTGGTGCGAGGCGCCGCGCCTGCGCAGTGGGCGTCGGGGCGGGGCTGAGGGGCCGGGTTGGGTGGGCGCGCGGGATGCTGGGGGCCGCGGAGCGGGGAGCAGCGGGGCCGCCGGGTTCCCGCCTCCACAGGTAACTGCGCTCCCTCGGCGGGCCTTGGGAGGGCAAGCGGTACCGTCCACGTCAGGTTGGCCCAGGGAGGCGCCCCTGGACCTGGCCGCGTCTGGGGACAGCTGCAGGCTGCCGCCGGGGACGTCCGGAAGCCGGGCACTCGCTCAGCCCTCGTCCGTTTGGTGACGCCAAGACCCCTAACCGCGACCCTCGGAGGGGGAAACACAGGTTACGTGTCTGATCTAGCTGTCCAGTCGCCGAGTTCAAGGGGCGGGTTGCTCGTCGGGATGCGGTTTGGGACTGCACACCCCAGCTCCTCGCAGGCAGCTTATTCTCATTTAGAAGAGAGCCGGCGGCTTCTGATGCACTGCCCCGGGCTGGCTGCCCCAGAGCCAGGCCACGCCATTCCCGCCTTGGAAGTGGCTGCTGCACTTTTCCCGCGCCCGTACTTCCATGTGCCTTTTCCTGGCACTTAAGATAGTCTCGTACAAGGATGTTTTTAAAATTCTGTTCTGGACACTCCTTTTTCAGAGATGTGGAAACCGTAACGGTTCCCAAAGTTTTATTTGTAGCGATGCAGTTTGCATATCCAACCTGCGTCCTGATGAAGGGCTGTGCCAACTAAATATGCTAGCAGGTAAGTCCCTTAGCTTCTGTCAGTCGCAGTTTTCTTGTCCGAAATGCTGGAAATCATTGATCTCCACTTGGCTGTGGGGACGACAAGAAGCAAAATGTATGAACTACTTAGCATACCACCTGTCACATGTAAATAGTCATAGCATTTGTTTGAGTACTTCCCAGAAGAATCAAAACATTTTAGAGTCAAACACAAAATATAGTATTTTAATTGATCCCGTAAGGAAAGATTTTAAAATTGTTGAGTATTTGAAGAACTGTGAATCTTGGTCAGATGTGTACAATTTTGATAAAGCTATGCTGGAAAGCAGTGGAGATGTGTCAGGAGCTTCTAAAATGTTGCTTATTTCATTTCACAGATGCACATGTGAGAATTCACAGTGTAGAAGATATGCAGAAAGATGGTCTTATTTGTTATCACAACTATGAAAGTTAAAAAAAATCCACTTATGTATAGATAAATGATAGGAAGAATTTACAGCATTACCTAGTGGCCACTTAGTGGTATACATGTGGATGATTCCCCTTTCATAAACATTATGTACACCAAGCAAGGAACAAAGGTAAAAGTGTTCCACCTGAGCTGAGTACAGTAACACAGGCCAGCACAGGCTCGCTGCAACAGAGACTAGAGCTGCTGTAACTTTCGTTGATGTATTTCTGTGGCTTATGTGTACATTAGCGTTCTTTTTTTTTTTTTTAATTATTTATTTATTACATTTATTTATTGTGTGTGTGGCCAGCTCAGCCCACCAGGGGGCGGGGCTGGCTGGCATGTGGTGCTGGGGGATCGAACCGCGGTCCCTGTGCTTTGCCAAGCTTGTTTCAAGTAGGTGCTTTAGACCACTGAGCCATCTCTCCAGCCCCTACATTAGCGTTCTTGCCTGCCACCTCACTCTAGTGCTTCCTGTTGAGTCTGTCTCGTCAGTCAGCTGCCACATCCAGGCCATCGTCCAGGCTGGCCATCTTTAGCCAGCCATCCCCAAGTGCCAGTGATTTAATGCTGAAATTTTATGTTTGTTTTCACCAGAGTTCCTTCTAAGGGTAGAGACAGATTCCTGTGACAAAATGACTTTCTGTACCCCTTTGCTTTTCTTTTCCTGTACTGAATAGAGATCCAACCTAGACTTTATGCATTTACACACTTTTAAAAAATGTTTCTAGCCAAAAAGATCATTTCACTTCTTTGCAATTTTCTTTTTTGATCAAAATGAAATGGAATCTAACCAAGAATCTATTTTGCTTTTGGTTGCCATACGAGAGCTGCTTTTTAACTTAATGATCTACATTAAAAGGTAGGGGAGGGTCACGTCCAAGAAAGTATATAAATGGGATTTGTTTCAAGTTAGTTTTTGAAGAAACTTTGTTTCCTAGGTATGCAAAGAAACCTTTTCATCCCAGTATCCTTAGCGATGATGATATGGATTCGTCTGGAGTTCTCCTCTGGGTAAAAGCAGAACCCTTTATGGTGGGTGCCTTGCAGATCCCACCTCCATCCAAGTTCAGTCTTCACTACCTCAAGAAGATAGCCACCTATGTGCGAACCCGGGCTATAGAAGGTGCTTACCCGCGCTTGTCCTGGTCCACGTGGAGGCATATCGCTTGTGGGAAGCTGCAGCTGGCCAAGGATGTGGCATGGCTTTACTTTGAAATATTTGATAGTCTTTCAATGAAGTCGCCTGAGAAGCGCCTGGAGTGGTCTGAGATTCTGTCTAACTGCATATCTGAGGATGAAATTGAAAAGCAGAGAAATCAGGTATGAATTGGTATATGTATGTGTGTTCAATTGTTTGGGGATAAACCATTCTTAGGTTTTATACTTCCAGTATAGATTGAGGTTTTACGTTAATGACCATTGTGATTCTGAAGTTCCATTTGAGTTTGGCTGTATTTAACATATTCTATGAGTTAGTCCTTATTTGCCAATCCTTATTTGCCTATCAAGGCAATAATGTTACAGGAACCCTGTAAAATTTTAAAGTGGGAAATATTTTTATTGACTTTAGAGAGCTTTGGAATGAATGGATATGACGAACCACTGATATGTTATGGTCAGGGGTACCTAATTTTAAATAAGCAGTTGCTATGTGTTGGAATTTAATATATTTGGGAATGCAGTGTACACACCCTTTTTTGTTGCTCAAAAGACTATATGGACATTTCTCATTTCACAACCAGCTTCTTTTCCTACGACTTGGTCACTAAATGAGGAATTACGTATAATACTTACATTACAATATTCAGAACAAAGAAACAAAGAAAACTTCAGCCTGTTGACTTTGCTTTTATTTGCATAACTCTTACATGCAGTATTATAATGTATAACAACACAAAATTATAGTACTATACAATACGATCAGCAAAAATTATGGTACTATAAAAAGGTGTGCTGTACAAAAAAAGACATTTAGGCTCTGTAAGCAAGGTGTATAGAACTGTACAAAAACAAGATGGACTGTAAGTCCAAATAGTCGCTAAACACATATGTTACCAAGCAAAGAACATCTGTACCACATTTTAAAGAAAATAGGTTTCTTTGGGTTCTGGAGGTCCAAGCAGAAGGGCCACATGTGGTGGTGGTATGTTTGCTGACAGAGTCTCAGGGTATCTACAGTAGTTACCTTTCCCTTGCTAGGACGAAATAACTGACCTGTGCAGCTTCAAAGAGAAGAAGGTTGTCTGGCTTCCTGGTTTCAAGGGTTTTAGTCAAGGGTCTGTTGGCTCCAAGTCAGGAGCACCATGATGGGAAAGCGTGGTAGGTGGAAGGAGGCTGCTTTACCTCATCAGGAAGCCAAGAAGCAGAGAGAAAGAGCCCAAGAAGAGATAGGCCTTTCACAGACGTGTTCCTGGTAATCCGCTCTGTCCCTCTAGGCGCCACTTCCTAATAGCCCCTTTTCCTTTGAAGCAGTTAGCACCCTGTTGATTCAGTCACCTCTGTAGGCCCTGCCTCTAAATGTTGCTGCATTGGGAATCAAGCCTTCATACATGAGTCTTTGTACAACTTCATATTTGAACCATAACAGTAGACCAGGGTATAGAGACAAGGAGCATCTGTATGTACTGGTCTCTGTCCCTCTTAAGAAGCCATCAGTATCCAGCCATAGGGTCTTTACCTCTATTTGTGTACTACTTATAATCAATTTTCAAAGGTTCTATCACTAAATACCCATGTCTAATTGATGTTCAGCCTTCTTAATTCCTCCTCAGGGGGATTAAATTTCAACAAATTTTTGGAAAGGACTGACCATATTCAAATGGTAAGTGCCCATGTCCCTTACCCCCTGCAATTCATGACATTCTCATATACTAAGTAATATCATTCTACCCAGTTTGTCCTAAAGTCATAACTCATTCCAGCATCAGTTTCCACCTGTGAGACTGTAAAATCAAAACATTTCCAATATATAATAGTAGCAAAGGCAGACACAGTGTGAATAAATAGAAATTTCCATTCCAAAGGAAGCAGTAAGCAGCAAATAATAACTTGCCCAAGGAAATCCAGAATCCTCATAGAGCTCATGGAGTAGCTACTGTCTACAAAAGTATGGGGAAAGTATAGAAGTAGAGTGCAGAATGAATCACTGGTGATAAGGAAAGACTTAACAGTATGTTAGTCCTGGTAGGTCACTCATGGTAACAGGCAAGCTTGGCCTTTCATGGCTTAGAACAATAACACTTTATTTCTCATTAATCCAACAGTCCTACACAACTGTCCTGAATCTCCGGGCTGTTATTGTCCATGCTGAGACTTAGGGATCCATGCTTTCATATGTCAGAGTCACTGCAGTGGTACCTTGATTCATGAACTTAATTCTTCCCACAATTCTGGTTGTAGAACTTTTCTGTGATTCCAATTGCAACTATGGCACAAATTCTCCAACTGGAATCGTGGAGTTAAGTTCCTGAACCAAGTTCTACTGTATTAATGTTAATCGGCTTTGCTTCGGGAATAAATTGAAACAATGAAATTCCAATGGCTTGGAGTAACAAAGGTTAATTTTGCTCATTTACTTATAGACTGTACTTTAAATATGGCTGCCATCCAGGCAGGGTTGGCTGTGTGTGTCTTCCTTCTTACTTGGGAACCCAACTTCTTCATAGGTCTTGGCTGTCCTTGTCAGAAGAACAGTAGAGAAGGGGAACAATGCCTTTTTAAGCCTTATTTCTAGAGTATACAACTTGATGAGTAGATAAATATATACGTGAAATCTTTGCCATTTTCAAAGCCAGAGGCATATCCATCACCTCCCTAGATTTCTCTCACCCCTGTTCTTGTTATGCCTATATATGTGCTAAGAACATTTAAACATAAAATCTACCTTTTTAAGAAACCATTATTAGGTAAAAGGGGAATAAGGATGAGGGGTTGTACAGGATGACAAGGGGGGAGTGGGATTGTCAAAATACGCTGTGTGCATGTACAGAAATACCACATTGATATTTTCAGTATTTTACAAGTTAATATGCATTAATAAAAATACATTAAAGTACTTATTATCGTAGAAAATTTTGAGTGTGCAGTCAGTATTCGCAGCTGTAGGCACTGTACCATCGAGTAGATCTCCAGGGTTGAATTATCTTCTGTAACTGAAACTTTCCCGTTGTCTTGGAGGCCCTCTGTGAGTGTGACTGTTTTAGATTACACTGTGGTTTGGATATAGTTTGTGTGTCCCCATAAGCTTCATACACTGAAGTTTAGTCTCTATTATGAAGAATTAAGTGGGTGGAAACTCAATCTTACTTTGATGCTTAGAGGCAGGGCCTTTGGAAGGCCACTAAGGTTACACAAAGCCATATAGTATTTGGCTTTCTGTGTCTAACAGTGTGCTTCGGGTCCATCTATTTTGTTGAAAATAGTAGAATTTCTTTTTACAGGTTCAGTAGTATTCATCTTATGGATGGACAGACATCCATACAAGCACATTTTCTTTCCTCCCCCCCCCCCATTTTCTTTATCCTTTCCATGGATGAACTTTTAGGTTGTTTCTATTATCAGCAATGCTACAGTAAATGTAGAATGGTGGGAATATCTTTTAAGATCCGGGGGCTGGCCTAATAGCTCAGCAGACTAGAGCACCTGCTTAGGCAGAGCACAACAGCTGGGTTTATGCCAAGACTGAGCCTAGTGGCACGCCTGTAATCCCAGCGCTTGGGAGGCTGTAAACAGGAAAATTACTACGAGTCCAATCTACATAGACTAAACACCCTGTAGGCCTTGTCCTAAATACAGAAAAGAAAAAAAGATCCTGGTTTCAGTTCCTTTGGATAAATTACCAAAAATGGAATTGCTAGATCATACAGTAATCTTGTTTTAAATTTCTCTGGAGCCTCCATACTGTTTTCCATAATTGTTGTACCAATTTCCTTTTTCACAAGTAATGTATCAGAGTTCCCTTTCCTCCATATTTCTTGCCAATGATTACCAGTCTCTTATTAAATTATAGCCATCCTAACTTGTGATATCTTGTGTTGTTGATTTGCATGTCCCTAATGATTGAGCACCTTTTCATCTACTTGCTGACCATTGTATGTCTTTGAAAAACATTCTGTATAGGTTCTTTGCTTATTTTTAATGAATCTCTTAGGCATTTTGGTATCATTATAGCAATTGATTACATGTTTTAGACAGTAACTATTCATCAGTATTTTGGTTTCCAGGTATTTTCTCCCATTCCATAGATTTTCTTTTCATTTTGTTAATTACTGCCTTTCTTGTAAAGAAACTTTTTAGTTTGATCAAATTCTACTTGTTTATTTTTGCCCGTTGCCTGTGCTTTTGATGTCTTATCCAAAAATCACTACTAAACCCAATATCCAGGTGCTTTTCTCCTGCTTTATTTTAGGAGTTTTACTATGTCCAATCTTACATTTACATCCTTAATGCCTTTTGAATTGATTGTGTATGGTATGAGCTGGGCATGGTAAAGCCTCTAGAGCTTTCAGTGATTACATGCATGCCGTAGGTTTGCCGCGCATGGTAAGCTGTGGTCTGTTTTCCTAATATCATCTGTTGGAGAGCCTTTCCTTTCCCACTTTGTGTTCCTGGCACTCCTGTCAAAACTGAGTTGACCATATATGTGAGCATTTATGCATTTCTGGGCTCTCGTGGCACCTCTGAAAGCTTTTGCTCAGGTCAGGTGTGGTAGTGCGCAGCTGTCATCCCAGTGTCTTGAGAATCTAAGACAGGAGACAGATTGCACGTGTGAGCCCAGTCAGGGCAGTTTAGTGAGATCCTGTCCAAAAATTCTTTTAAAAGGCTGGGATATAGCTCAGCTCTCCCTGTGTACAGTCCTTAGTAACACACACACACACACACACACACACGAACAACTTTTGCTCAGATGTGCCATAAACTACAACTACATTCATTCCATTGGCTAATGCTTTGTCATCGGATCAGACTAAAGTCAATGGAGTAAGAAGGTAAAGTATCTCATGGGGGATCAGGGAAGTGCCATGGCCATAGGCAAAGCTAAATAAACTTTTTTATAAATGGGTAGGTTGCAAATAACACCCTTCGCCACAGCCATGCCAGTTAGGCCTCAGAGTCCTCGGCTTCCATTTCTTTTTCACTTTAGTGGGTCAGGCTTAAAGCATTGAGTATGAATTTGCCTTCATTCCAATGACCCCATTATAACTTGTCAAGCTGCAAGAAAGGCTTAGAAATGCCATCTAGCTGTGTGCCCAGGAAGAAGGGAAAAGTACCTTGTATCTAGCTAGTCTGCCCCACATGAGGCAACAGCTAGATGAGTTAGAAATTGGAAAGTTTATCACACAGCCAGGAAGGGGAAGGACAGTGTGCTTATTCATTAATCACCTTCATTGAGTAACTCTTGTGTGTGTGCTAGGTACAGTAGTATAGTAGTAAATGCTGTGGATAAAAGCGTAACGCTTTTAAGAAGTTCCAAATGTTTAGAATTCTCATTATGTGCCTTATTATATAGTAGTTACAAGGGAAATAAAAAGTAAAAAAGACAAGCCAGTCACAGTGATGCACACCCATAATCCTGACATTTGGGGAGACAAGCAGGAGGGGTTCAAGATCAAGCCCAGCCTGGCAGTGTAGCAAGATGCTATCTCGAAATCTAAAATAAAAAGGATGAGGATACAGCTCAGGGCAAAGGCCCCATGTTCAGCTCCCAGTACTACCAAAAAAAAGGGAAAAATATTTTAGTCTCTGTCAGCATCAAACACTATTGTGCATGTTCCTCCCAGCTCCTTGGGGGTGAGCCAGGAGGACTGGGAGTTCAAGGCCAGTTTGGGCCATTTAGCGAGACCCTATCTAAAAGTAAGAAGACCTGAAGTTGCCTGGGATTAAGGGGTGAATGTGGTGGGGGAGTGAGTTTGGCTACAGAAGGCAATGTGGAAGATTGGGATTGAAGGAAACAATCTCTGTCTTGGCTACTTTGACATCAGTGTCCTACCTAATGACATCATACCACAGTTTTGCAAAGTGGGAAGCCCAGAAAGAATACAGGGTATCTCTGTATTAGTTGTGTGTTGTGTTGTGTTGTGTTGTGTTTTGCTTTGCTTTGTTTTGGCTTTGCTTTGCTTTGCTCTTTGGTACTGGGAATTGAACTCGGGACCTTGCACTTGCCAGGCAGGCACTTGTGCCGCTCAGCCATCTCCCCCTACCCCCATCCCTCTATAGTCTTACATCTGCAGTGACACTCGAAAGTTTAGGGCTGTAAAAATTTGTAAATGTGTGTTCATGGGACTTCACATTGGCAGTCGATTGAATAGATGTGGGTGATCCTGAGAGTCTGTATTTTTAAGCTCCTCAGATGGTGACCGCTTTCTCCCAGGCTGGAAATCAGGGTAAATGTAGCTGTGGAGTCACATGCGTTGCTTCGTTTTGTTCATTCTCCTGCATGCGTATAGGGATAGTCATGAGCTTCAGGTTCTAAATGGTGAGCTTCAGCTGAGTGTGGTGGGGCATGCCTGTAATTCTGGCCCTCAGGAGGCTAGCACAGGAGGGCCACCAAGAGTTGCAGGCCAGACTGAACTGCACAGTGAGACCCTGTGTCAGAAAAAAATAAACTGAAAGAAAATGGTGAGCTTCCAACGGTACCCTCCCTCAGATAAGAAATAACCTTGTGTGACCATTACCAGACCAGTGGTGGTATTTTTCTTTTTAAAAGTCTAACAACCTTTTAAAAACTGTGAAAACATTAGGCTACTCTCTCAGAAAGTGCTCGTCAATCAAGAAATTGTCTCCAATTACAGCTGGTATATTGATGTGCTAAGCTTTCTCGAGAGGCCTTTAGGTTAAAGCTCCATCTTAATAAATTTCATTCTTTTGTCCTTTTACTTATTAAAATTACCAATGTTGGTTTTTTAACTATGAAATTAAAATCATGAAATATTGTACTTTTTATGAGTACGTATTTCATTCTTTCCTTCTCTTTAGTTTTGCAGAGCTGGTTTCTGTGGCTCTCTGTGAAGCCAAGTGACCTTAATGCTATAAACTCCTGTATTTGGTTATCAGAAACAGACGCCTCAGACGCTGGCGGTGTTTCTGGTAGCAGCATTTAAAGGATCAGCAAACTGCTGTGAATTGAGTTCCCGAGGTCTGCTTGAATGGTGTTTGAGCACCTCCTTTCTTCTCTCCTCGCACAGCTTTCAGTGGACACGCTCCAGTTTCTCCTGTTCCTGTACATACAGCAGTTGAACAAGGTCTCCCTGAGGACGTCTCTGATTGGAGAAGAGTGGCCTAGTCCCAAAACCAGATCGCAGTCTCCTGACCTGTCGGAGAAGTCCAGCTGCCATAATAAGGTGCTGTCCGTAAATTAATCTCTCTCTCCTCAAGGGTTGATTTGGGAAGGGGGTAGCTTGCATTCTTTAAAAATTATATTGGAATTCCTAATTGAGGCCAGTGATTGGATGCTTTATTTTTTGCTTTTAGATCTTTTTCTAATAACAAAACAAAAATTAATCTGCAGTTACAATCAAAATAGAGAAATGGCCTTAATTCCTTCACTGGCATAAAAATCATGTGATTAGGGCAAGTATTCGCTGCATTCTGTCAGTGTTTTCTATTTTTGCAAATGCTAATGAATTTGAATATACTTACTTGACCAAGGTGGATACATGAGATGTAGTATTTCCAGAGTCTGTTCAAAAATTACTGAAAAAATTTTCTATGAAAGTATTTCATATTGCTTAATCAGGTTTAAGAAATTTTATATGCTGTGACAACCTACATGTTAACTGCCTGACATTATTAGAAAATGTTCTATTGTTCTTTCTGTTTTTGTGACTAAAAGGTGTTTTGTTCTGTTCTGTTCTTTTGTGGCCCTGGGGATGGAATCCAGGGCCTTGCGCATGCAAGGCAGGAGCTCTACTACTGAGCCACTTTTGCAGCCCCAAGAAAGGCATTTTTTTATTTAATTAAATTTCTTCATTTATTTTTGAGCCACAGCCATGCTGTGTGGCCCAGTAGGCCTCAAACTCGTGGTGATCCTCCTACCTCAGCCTTCCAGGTGCTGGGGTGCACTAGCACACCAAACTAAAAAAATGCATATATTTTTTTAGACCTCATTTGTTGTGGAAATATTTTGAAAATCTTGAAGTAAAATATAAACTTGAGAATCAGTGCCTTGTGCAGGTTCTTTTAAAAAGTTCTAAACCTAAAAAAAACTTCTGAAGTTTAAAAAAAGAATGAAAGTATTTGGAACTTCTCTAATCTTTGTAATGCGTGTGCCCATCCTTACATTCCGTAATGCTGTAGTGTGCTAGTTTTGCTTTAAATTCTCTCGTCTTCATAAATTCCTCTGCCCTGGCCCTTCATGCCGCTGTCCCAGGATTCTACCCGAGCAGATTTTTACTTTCTACTGACCACGTCTCTCCACTGTTGCTCTAATCCTGTGACTGCGTGCATCTCACTGGCTCCCAGCTTCGTCTCCGTGCTAGAGCCCTTGCCTTGTGCTAACTCACCTCACAGATGCCCCAGCTTGGCCTTAATTTCAAAATGTCCGAGTCCAAGTGTCCTAGAGAAACTACTCACCGCATGCTTCCTGCCCAGGTAGCTCCTACAGTGTTTTGAGCTAAGGGGACCCCACTCAGGTCCGACTCTGCCACTTAGTAATTGTCATGTGATTCTAGGCAGGTCAGTTACTTGTCTTGAACCTGGCTTCTCTTCTTTAAGTTGGGCTAGGGCCTATTTCTGAACAGCTGTGAGAACCCATGGAATTGTTGCATAGGAAGCACCAGGGAATGGCAGCGCCGGCTTGTGCTCCCGACACTTGAGTGGGCAACAGGGCTCATGCACGGCTCTTTCAATGGTGCCATGTGTTTGAAATGATGGCTCTGGGCATTCGGTTCCCCTGGAGACTGGGACAGGTGCCAGTTGGTGGTGGCGTTGGTGTTAGAACAGTGCCATGCCCAGGAGTGACTGCAGCTCTGTGGGAGTAGAAACTGGGAAGCAGTTGGTGAAGTCCTGGCTGCTGCTCGCCAGGGGAAGAGAAGAGAAAGGAGCAGATTTGCAGAGGGGCGGGCCTATGTGAGAGGAGCCCATGCCAGACGGCTTCTAGTCCCAGTCCTAACCAAATCTACGTCTGCTTTAGCTTGGGAGACAAATGCATATGCATCTATGGAAAAACTCACATTAAGTCAGCTTGCATCCCCCGTCCCATGAACAATGGCGTCACTGCACCCACGGGTCTCCCCCCACCCATATGTAGTTAATTATCAAGTCTCACTAGTTCTACCACGAAGTAACTGTTGAAACTCGTCATTTATCTTTCTTGTATTTAGGGGTTTTTTGTTGTTTCTTTTTTTCTTTTTCTTTTTCTAGTAATGGAGATTGAATCCAGGGCCTTTATGCTGAGTTACATCCCACCTGTTGTTCATTTTGAGGAAGAGTCTTTTTGCGTGGACCAGGTTGTGGTCCTCTTGCCTCAGCCTCCCAAGTAGCTGAAATTATAGGCATAGGCCACTGCTCCTGTCTAGGTTTTCAAGTCTTTTTTCTTTCCCTTTAACCTGATTTTTTTTTTCTTGGTTAGATCCCAGCTGGTCACCCTACTTGTAGTCTGTAGTCACTCTCTCCAGCGCTGGACCTGGTCACGTGCAGGTGCATTGCATTCATCTCTAAGCTCAGTCAGTGAACCCTCTTATTGGTGCTTCCATGTGGCATCCTTGGAGCCACCTCAGGCCTGTTTTGGCAGAGAAACATGCAGTGAAAAAGAGGAATAGCAAGTTCAAGTAGAAAACAGTTGTACTTTGATCTATTTTCTTTGGCATCCAAATGAGAATTTACTGTGTATAAATGTATAAATATATATAGATATTCAGGCATGTGTGTATAAATAATTTCATTGTTAGACTTGGTCACATCTTCAAGGTATCACTATACATATATTTTCCAAAATCTAAAAAAAAAAATCAAATCGAAATATTTCTGGTTCCGAGCACTTCAACCTGTAGTACCCTTGAATTAGTTAATGTGAAAGGGCAATCTATTTTTATCTGTCCCATGCACACACACGAAAATCATTGTATATAGCCACCTAAGTTATTTTGTGGGGATGAAGGAGAGTATACGTACAAAAAACTAAAAGACAAACTTGTAGATCATGTAGAATTTGTCTGTTAAGAGTGCTTTCTTTGATTTTTTTTTTTTTTTTTTTTTAGAACTGGAATGACTACAGTCACCAGGCTTTTGTCTGTGACCATCTGTCAGATCTCCTTGAGCTGCTTTTAGATCCAGAACAACTCAGTGTGTCATTTCATTCAACCCGTAGTAGTGTAGTCTCTCAAGAAGCTGTTGTGGCGCTCAGCTTTCTCCTTGAAGGCACAGTGAGTGGAGCCAGGAAGATCTACCCACTGCATGAACTCGCGCTGTGGCAACCACTACACGCCGACAGTGGGTTCTCACAGAGCTCTAAGACCTTCTCTTTCTGCAAGCTGGAAGCCTGGTTGAGAGCCCATTTGACTGGGAATCCATTTGGTACATCTGCTTGCCTCAAGTCAGGAAAGAAATTGGCTTGGGCTCACCAAGGTATTTTTTAATGTTGTCATTTGAATTGAATGACAAAGGCTGGGGATACAGCTCAGGGGCCAGCACCTTCCTGGCTAGCACAAGGTTCTAAGTTCCAATCCTAGTACCAAAAAAATTTTTGAATGAAAAGGAACATAATGTTCCTGGTGTTTTAATCACGTATCTTCTGTAGAGGACCTAAAAATACTGCCACTAAAGGAAGCATACATCCCTTTGAGTATCGTGTTCTCTCTCAAGGCAATGGTAATCTCAATTTATTAGTCAGCATCCATCTAATTAATTAACAGAAACTAGCTGCAGTTCGTCCTGTAGTCTCTGCTGTGCTTTTCTCTGATTCTCTCCACCTTCATGTGCTCACTTACATGAGACATTATTTTTTATACAGCAGCAGAACTTGGCCGTCCCACACTTACAAGCTGATTTAGAATTGAGATCGTTTTTAGCTAAAATAGATGCAAGCAGAGTGATGTCTATAAACAAGTTCACAGCTGCGTCCTGTGTTGGTTGCATCGGGCGTACGTGCTGGTAGTCCAGCAGTGCCTGAACTGGCAGGTTCGGGTGTTGTGTGACTCCTGGGACCACATGTAAGTTCTAAGGGAGGAGGGGCTGGGCCCGCATCTCTGTAGCTGTCTACGCTACTGAGGAAAATTAGGCAAAATTAATGGAAAAAATTACCCTACTTCCACCATTTCTAAATTCAAAGTAACTCCCTTGCAAGTATTTTTTTTTAAATGCAGTTTCTATCACATTTTTGTACTTCACAGAAAGTGGTTGAATGTGGGGCAAAAAGATTGTGATCCAAGAATTCTTTGTTTAAACTGTTGCTACAGTAAGAGATCACAAAGTCTCAGATATGTAAGGATCCTATAAGTACCACATGATCCTTGAAGCTCGTAGAAGAACATAGGTATAAGCAAGCTCTTGAATCTTGGAAAGGTAGTCATTGGTAGGAAAAAAGAAAAGCTATCCAACCTCCTAAGATTATGCTACATGGTGATAGTAACAGTAGGATTACATGTGGTTTATTTATTTATTTATTTATTTGCAGAACAAGGGATTGAGCTCAGGCCCTTGCGCTTGCCAGGCAAGCGCTTATTCTACTGAGCCATCTCCCCATCCCCTACACATGGTTTTTAATCTTTTTTACTATTTTTCTACACTAAGCCTATGTGGTATATATATAATTTAGAAATAAACACTAATTACTTTAAAAGCACTGTAATATGCTGTGTAGCCTCTGCACATTTGGCCAGCATTGTTTGTGTCCTGAGGCTCACTGGGAAGTCTAACCCGCAATGCCAGTCATATGGCCTGCAATGCCAGTCATATGACATTGGGACTGTGTTACAGGGGAGCCTGCATGCATTTTATGGTGCCAGGTCGTGGAAGACACTGTATGGTAGGAAGATGTGCTCTCAGGTAGTCACGATCCTAGAGTAAGACACATGTGCAAAGAGAACTCATGGAATGATGCTGTAAGGAAATTGAGAGGAGTACAGAGTGGACATGGCCAAGCAGAGAGGCGCACTGTAGCTGGAATGATGGGCATGTTGGAGGAGATGTCGGAGCTGGGCCAACTCTGTTGTTTTCTAACCTGTGTCCTAAGGCCCGAGGCCCATTACTTAAATGGGAGACATAAAAATTCTTAGATCTATTAGCAATCTTGAATAGATTAATTTTTAAATTTTATGTAACTAATGATAATAGAGGACAACTATACAGAAAAGAATAGGTTGTATAGCCAACACCCCTTACCCAGTACCCCAGTCAGAGTTGAGACATGGAACATGTGGGCATGCACAACCTCCAGTGGTGGCTTTTTCTTTGATTGGAAACTCTCTCTCTTATTTATTTATCATTTTCTAAATAGTTGAAGGTACGACCAAAAGGCCTAAGATTGCTTGTAATACTCACGTGGCCCCTAGGACGCACCGCATGGTAGTGATGAGCCAGGTTTGCAAGCAGACGTTGGCCAAGAGCTCGGATACCCTGCTGGGGGCGCACGTCAGGATTCATCGCTGCAGCGAGGCTTTCATATATCTGCTCTCTCCCCTCCGGTAAGCATAG